AAAACAACAAGAAAGTTTTTTGTATTAATCATGTTTTAACATTCGAGAATGTCACGGAATTACAATCATGCCATTTGCGCTGAGAATTTCCTTCAGAGGAATTTTTTCTGGTGACGTCTGTTAACAAGCATACCATGTTCAGCTAGGACTAACAAGTTATTCTAAGGTGTAGTAAGGTTTTTGCTTCCAGACACCCACTATATTGGGATCTCCAACAAAATCCGCACCATTGTCTGTAGATGGAACGCCACGTATCCATCATTTTAACGGTTTTACACCTCAGAACAATCAAGCTTTTTTTGGGGATCATGAACCTCTCCTCACAGGTATGTTGCCTCTCTCCATATAAATTCAGCTTTTATCGGGCCAATCGACTATCCATTCAACACATGCTATTATTACTATATACTGAAGAGCCCAATCAGTACTCAGCAATTTACCTGAAAAGAACAAGTCCTCCAATTTACCTTTTTAAAACTGTCTTTCTCATAAATGAAATTAGCTTTGCTATAGAAACGCAGGACTATCCATGAGTATCGCAGAGATACCTAAAAAGTAATCTATCTTGTGTAAACCAAGCTAGTCGTAAATTGACTGTAGTTTGCTTGCTATTGATTTTTCCATTGTATAGGTAACATCGAAATACAGTCAATCTCTCAAACGTCGACTACAACGAATCTACCCAACGGAGCTGGTACGAGCTGTCTAGCAATTTTTATTACACTCCTTATATCGGTTTTCTTAGCATCAACATCTCAAAACGGTGAAACATGCCCGAAAAGTGAGAAGACAACAATACAATTCAAAGGATCTATAACTACAAGCTTACCAGTGAACTTGTCATCGGGTGTGAGCTCGCCAGGTAAGCCTAAGCGCACTTCTAATCGCTTGGTTACGTCCATTTTCTTTCATTTAGGATTATCAGCATCAATGTTTCAATTTTCCCCAATGGTCGAACACTTTCTGCAGTCGTTGTCAAAGGTGTCGTTTACTATATGCTCTGCCCTTTATCTTAGTGAATGATATCGAGTTTTCGTACTTTTTTGAGCGTAAAATATTTTCTTCTGACTTCTTCGAGGTAGTTACATCTCGGAGATTTCGTTTCATTATTATAATTATCTTATTTTTTTTGAAATTTTATATCTTAGCTTATAATGTTGTGCCACAAAAACAATTGACTAACCTATAGGTTCTCTCGTAGTCGTCACTTGATGCTAGATATTTTTCTGTTTACTGACTTTGATTTAATATTGAAAGTGGATTTCTTTTCTTGGACAACACCTAACTAAAATAATTTCCCTTTTATTGTACAGGCGTTGTTTTCAGCCTCCAGTTTTATATTTTCTAAATATTATATTCAACAAAGCAGATCCATTTGCTTCGGAGATTTGCAAAGCTTCGTCCTATCAGCTGATCCAACGCGCTCTTGCAGCACCCATTGTTCTATATGTACCGTCATAACAGGAGCTTGCATAATGGTTAATAACTCAAACAGATTGGCTCTAGTCAACATCATCTGTAATTTTAACAAGTGCTACAGATATAGGCTCAGCTGTTGGCTGATATTTTGATCCTTAGTTTTTCAAAAATAATGGTTCAACGACATCCCTACACTCGCTGCATCTCCCCTTATATTCAATGGATTTCAGAAAGCTGGCTTACATGCAAGCTTTTTGAGGGATATGCGAAAGATGAAAGTTCTCAGTTTCTACTCTAGAGACGGTTTGAACTTTCTATTATTTGTCTTGAGAACCATCAGATTACTAAAACAAGCTCAATCGTTAATGATTTGGACCTTGCATTAGAAGCCTTTCTAAATGATACGAATTCAAAATGATTTGCACAATTTACAATCAGCGAAAAAATTGACCAGAATCAACAGCGTTTTCTTCTTTAGGGTGGAAGCGGGCTTCCGGAGCTGACTGTAGTGGATGCAAAAACTCCAGGAGCTAATAGCGAAGCTCCAGATCTGCTCAAAGTTGTACGTATACCGACGGAAATGAAGAAAGAAGACAAAGAGCTGACACAAATTGAACCAATTCAACGGAATGGTGTGACGGCTGGAATAAAACCCCTGCAACCACCTCCAGTTCCGGTTAAGTTCCAGGTAAGCAATCTAAAATTGCATATAAGTACTGCGTAATTTGTTGTTCTGCTTCTCCCCTTCAAATCCATCAGCTTGACCATCAGATTCCTCCTTCCTCTTTG